GCCAAGGAGACTTGTCCTAAACCCTAAGATGGTCATGTAACGAAGAAGCGGTATTCACTGGTGGTCGATTTCTTTGTGCCTCTAAGACAAATCTGTAAAAGAAGAACGTTCAGACTTCAAATCCAGACGAGAGGTATTGTGCAACAGTCTTTCTTAATCTATAAAAAAAGGCATGCTAAAGTCTTTTGGCCATAGTTTTAACCCCGTAAACGAAAGATGATGAGTCAGAGACTCGAAGAATGTTCAGAAATGTCTGATAAATGACAATTGAGGGACTAACAACAAGGTCGCGCTGTTTGAATTGTAAATTTATGAGAAATAATCAGACGTAATAATCTAATCCAGGCATGTATATCGATTTCTTGCTCTTCTCAGAAGAAGGTGAGAACGCATATATCATAAATAAATCAAACTTATTTAATAGAGAAAGACAACTCTTCTAATCTAAGGATTCCCCTCAACCAATTGTACACGTAGTTATGACGCCAAAAACAGGAGCAGATATTGTTAACAAGATATACCCCTGATGTTTTAGGGAAGCTTTCGATAGATTATGTTTAATCCCTTCAACTTCGACGCTTTTTGACACAAGAACATAAACCACAAATCGCCATCCATTGGTTCATCTTGAACTACAAGTATACAATGCAAGATTTATTATGAAAATAATGGATGGATTGTTAGCTTCGACTAGTACCTCATTGGAATACAAATCTTATACCTTGTACTGTTGCAAAAGTTGCAAAAATGTTTCAAATTTAAATTTCTCCATCGTCACTGAGCAAAATCCGATATCGAGACAATTGAGCAACGTGTAGATGCCAAAAATGTGAAAGTACGGCAGGTAGGCAATGATGTGATCTCGGCATGTCGGCAGAATGAGGATTGGCATACTAGAAAATTGATAGTTTCAAATCGAGCACGTGCAATACGAGTTATTGACACAATAACAAAGATGCTGATTAGAATTATGCAGGTATGACCGTGGCATGCTAGACATGACCATG